GGCTGAAGGTGAGAAATAATTTTTACATATTCAATTAATTATAAAACAATAACTGAATTTCCTTAATAAAATAATTTATCTAACACAATTACAGATAAAGTTATAATTAATGTTAATATAAAACTCTCTAATTTCTTTTAGTTATCTGCTTATAAAGATCTAAATGTTCGTGTTTGCAATCAATGTTATGATCAAGCAAGAATTGCTGAAGGTATTTCCAGTGACTCCTGCACATCAGACGATGTCTCGTCCACTTATTCAAAAAGAGATTATAATCAATCAATTAGTGAAAATATTAGTGATGAAAATGAATGGATATTAACAGGAGATTTAGATCGAGACAATGCAGTAAGAGAAGAATTTGGGTAAAGTTGTATGTGTAGAACATTTTATTAATTGGTGTATATTGTTTTTTAGAGTCCGCAAATTATCTAGCCAAAATATATTTATTAATTATGTTATTATATATCCTAATATGTAATAATTTAATAATTATAATTGTTATGTGGAATATAAAAATTAGTTTGATACAAAATTTCAGAAACTAAAATTACAATTTGATCATGTTTTTTTGAATAAACTATATTTTTGTGTGCTATTTTTTTCAACATCGAAAAATCAAAAGCAGTGTTTAATATAGTAAGTACTAACTGTATTTTATTTACAGTTTTACGCATGCTCCATCAGTCTCATTATGTTTATCAATTCTGTCTCTTTATGATGACTCAGAAGAAGCACCAAATTTTTTGCTGTCTGAATGTGATGCTGTGATTAGAATAATGAAGCCAAAAATTATAGGAGTACCTAATAATGAGGTCTGAACTAAAAATAGAATATTATGAAAAATCCTATTCGCTAGCTTTATGTTTTCTCGACGTTTCAAGCCATTCTGAATCAAATGAGGCCAAATTTGGAAAAAGTATGTGTGTGTGTGAACAGATTTTTTGCTGTAAATCGACGTTTTTTCAAAAACGGCTAGACGGATTTCAAAAATTTAAAAGCCATTTGATGTATCTAGATGAGGACTAGCGTTTATCAGTTTTGTGCGACGATCTGCCGAGCCGGTTCTTTGTAATTTGAAAAAAAGTGTTAATCTTTTTGTCCACATTTAAGCTCATACTACCGAATCGATTTTAAAAAATCAAAAACTGTTCGAAAGATATTAGTTATGATTAGTTTTAGGTGAAAATCTACCTAACCGTTGAAAAAAAAATATAAGCCGATTTTGATGGAACTTTTTTTGGCGATATATATCATGGTCTTATAGAACTTAATGAAATATTACGACCTTACGACAAGTAGTTTAATTTTAGACGATTTACTTGGTATAATGATAGAGTACTTGGTCGTAATGAACATACTAACTAAACCATTAAAGTCCTACGGAAACTGGTTCAATAATAAAAATCATTGATTTGTGAAAATTTGCTTTTAAAAATACTCCGAGTTAACGTGTTTGTTCGTTTTCAAATATGTGTAATAAATCCACTCGGATTTATTACAATACTTTTATTCACTCCTAAATTAGTTTTTTTTTTTTTTTTTTGATTAAATCCATTATTTAAACATATCGGGAAGTTCATGTAACTTGCCTCAAGGCAAAATACCATAACCAACTAGTTTATGAAATTTACCTAAAATAACTTAATAAAATAAATATATTACATATATAATGTTTATAATATTAAACATATTTTAATCATACATTGGCATTAATTTATTAACTGAAGATTATAAAGTTTTAATAAAAAGAAATGAATTTTCAGATAGATTACTCATTGCTAATTGAAATAATGCGATCAATGGCAATTGCAGCTAAAGTGAAGTTTTCTCATCTAATACAATTAAAAACAAATTTTGCTTCTGAAATGTCTGGGACAAATGATGCAATAGGTATATTCAATCACAATATTTTTGAATCACTTTTTAAATCAAATATCAAATAAATTGATTTTTTTTAATTTTTGCAGAAAATAAACGTACTTCTTATTACTATGCTGGTATTTCACGTTGTGACTATATACTGAATTATGCTGACTTAGCACAATTGCTTGTGGAGCATAGTTGTGAAGGACTCCTTACACAAACCATGGAAGGTGGGTTATAATTTATTATCGATTAGTCATTTTATGAATAATATTATCATACTTTATATATTTAATATCTCATAGATATTTGTATATGTCTTTAGTAGCTTTTATGGCATTCAATTGTAATTTGTACATTAAATTAATCTTATGTTTTTGTTTTTACTAAGCAAAAAATGTACTTTTTATTTAATGCAGAATAGTAATTATTTACATGTAAATTTTAGCTTATGATATTCAGATATTGCGTGAGCAACTGATGCTATCTGAGCGATGGACGGTGGCACTTGAAGTTTCTTTGAAAGCGGGTCTTGACAAAGCTAGTGTGTTTGCAGCTTGGGGTAAAACTTGTTTAAAGGCTGGTGCTTTTTTAACAGCTAGAGAGAAATTTAGTCATTGTCTTAAAGCAGTGCATAATTCATTGGTATATATTAATTTTTTTTATAAACTATTTAAATCAATTTGTATTACATATATTATTAGATATATTTTTAAATTTTATCTGTATGGTTTGCTTTTTTAATCTAACTCGAAACATTTAAAATATGTTTTTTTACTCAATTTGAAAAAAAATTGTTACTAAAATATTATATATAGCCTTTAATTTAATTTAATTATATGAATATTCTATGTTTAACAAATTCTATTAATTTTCATTAAGTTGTTGATCTTTATATGCAGACATCTTCCAGTGCACAACATCAGGAGATATTTACAGTTGAGAATTTCATGGAAGAAAAATATTCAAGAAATGTTTTTAAGTATGCTACAAATTATACTGACAATAATATACAAGATTCAGTTTCTAAAGTACCAATAAATGCAAGACCTACCAAAGACCCTATATTATTAAATGAAATAATAGAAATTCTAGAGAAAACAACATACACTATTGATGCAAGTATAATGAAAAATTTTGAAGAAATTAAACAGTCCCAAGAAAATTTATTACAGAAAAAAATAGGTGGTCATATGAGAAACAATTTACCAGAACCTCCATTATATGTTTTACATACATTATCTAATTTAAAAAATATTATGAATGGCGTATATGAATCAGAAGTGGAGGGTGATAAATCCAAACAAAAGAGCAAACGTGTAAAAGCTAGGTCGGATAGCATTCAACATCAATCACCCGATAATCATGAAATGAAAAATTTAGAAAAATTTATTTTTGATGAATGTAAATATTATTTGAAGACATATGGATCTCATGAAGGAATTATAAAATTTTATATGCAACATTCCACAGTGAATCAAGTTTTAGAATATATTTTAAATAATACTGTAGATAAAAATATATTTACGGAAGCAGTTTATATGGAGTGTTTAAAAACTGGATGTATCGAAACTTTGCATCATCACATGGCTTCCATGGATTCAACACTCATTATCTGGAAGGTAAAGCGCTTATTTCAAAAATATAGTTTTTTACATTTAATATTTTCAATGTTTTTGTTTTTTAGGACTATCTCAGCAATACTTGTAGATATTTAGAAAAATATAAGTATATGAACACACTCTACTCATTACAACTATTTATGAAAGATCTTGTAAGAGCCAGCATGACATGCATACATTTTTATTCATTTAATTGCTCCACATATACTAGTTTACATGAAAATGTAGAATATTTAAATACCGCGGAAAAGTTTTTGCGGCAGGAGTTAGAAGCTGCTGTCACAACAACTTCATCAACGTTTCAAGTATTAAAAGAAGCAAGTGCAGCAGCATCAGGTTTCATTAAGAAGTTGAGTTATCGTGAGTTGGATAGACATATTAATACAATATGCAAGCAAAGGGAAGTTGCTAAATTTTTAGCTGGGTGTGAAGTTCATGGTCGAGAGACCTTTGTGAAATTGAATAAGGTAATGCATACACTATCATCAATGTGGTCATTGATCATGTTTATGTATAATTTATCATATTTTGTAAAGAAATTTTTCAAAGGTGTAATGATTTGTTTCTTTTTTTAAAAAAATTAATTGCATATATATTTTCATAATATAATTTAAATAACAATTATTGATAAGTAGAGCTACAGATTTTTAATAGGCTAGAGGAAGATTCAGATTTATACTAATTTAAAATGTACATAAAAATAAAATATGAAAAAACTACAACTCTAGATAATTCTGAGATTACAAGTGAAAACAAAATTTGTTAGGATTAATCTATTGAGCTTCATTATAGTTTTGGGCATTCTAAAACAAAAACATATTATAATTTTCAGATGTTTACAAATGACAGCAATGAATCAAATTGTTTGCAGTTACCAACTCTATTTGGAAATCAATTAGATAGATTGCAAGTAGCCACATTTGTAATTCTTTGTGGCCAGAATGTAGAGGAAGGATTTGGGCTTGCATTCAGGTATCCAAATAGTCACTATTGATACTATTAATTTTAAGTATAAGTATATTTAAGTTTATATAAAATAAATATAAGATCAAAATTATTATGTTTTTTCTCAAGAAATTACCATGGTACTAATTATCTCATTTTATATTGCATAATTCTTATTTTGTACTTAAATTATCGTCACTTTGTTGTATTATCAACTATTAATACCGTCATTGATATTTTGCCTGGAGCAGGACCGTCATATTTCAACCTCTTATCTCGCTTTTTATGGTTAATTTTTTTACCAAACTTCCGCTTTTATGCGTATTTGTTCTTTGCTTCGGTTTTTATCTTGTGAATTTCTTCTTCGAGCAAGTTGTATATCATCTGCGTCATTATTTAACCATGTTCATGGCCATCACGCAACCGCTTTTTTAACTTCCCGAAGGAGAAGACCAAATTTGAGAAAAAGTGTGTGTGTGTGTGTGTTTATGTCAGCAGATTTTTTGCCGTAAATCGACGTTTTCTCAAAAACGACTGGACCGATTTCAAAAATTTGAAAGCGATTCGATGTATCTCGATGGGGACTACTATCATATGTCAGTTTTGCGCTACGATCGGCCGAATCGTTTCTTTGTAAATCGCAGAAAAGTGAAACAAATTTTGTTCACGTTTTAACCCGCAATTCTGACTCGATTTTAAAAATTCATAAACTGTTCGAAAGATATTGGTTGGAAATCGACCGGATTAGTTTTTGGCAAAGATCGACCGGGCCGTTTTCTTGCAATAATGTGTTGAAAAATTTTTTTTACGATTTTTCTTTCACGGTAGATACCATAGTCTTATAGATCATACTAAAATATTACGGCCGTACGACAAGTCGTTTAACTTTAAAAATTCGTCAAAGTTTGCAAAAATTAGTATCGTTTTTTTGGCATTTGTCAAAAATAGACCTCTCATCGACGTTTGCTCAAAAACGCCTCGAACCGATTTCAAAAATTTAAAAGTCATTTGATGTATCTCAATGAGGACTATCGTTTGTCAGTTTTGTGCGACGATAAAGTGTTAAACTTTTCGTCCACATTTAAGCTCATACTACCGAATCGATTTAAAAAATCAAAAACTGTTCGAAAGATATTAGTTGGGAATGATACTGATTAGTTTTAAGTGTTAATAACTGTTAAAAAAATATTTGAGCCGATTTTTATAGAACTTTTTTTGGTGATATATATATATATATATCATGATCTTATAGAACTTACTGAAATATTACGGCCTTACGACGAGTAGTTTAATTTTAAAAATTCATCAAAGTTTGAGAAAATGATGAGTTTCTTTTAACGTTTATTAAAATTAAATTTAATTCTATCCGGCGTCCTTTCTTGTTCACAGTCGTTTTTTCAGTCTATTTGTGAATTTGTTGTTCTTCCTTACTGTTCTCTCGGTTTTAATTGTTTAATTCTATATATGTTAATTATTCTTATTACAATTACGTTACAGAATAGCTCAAGATTATCAGTTGCAAGGATCCCAACTCTACCGCGAATGCGCGCGTTATTTAGCGCGCTGCGGTGATGGTTTGAATCAAGTGGCTCAGCTTTGCCGTTGTGTGCATTCCAGTGGTCTCAATCAGCAAAAGGCTTCAATTCTTGTTGATGAATTGGCAGCTGCTGCTCTATATGAGGCTAGCATACTGCAGTCTTCCAAATGCTTGGACGGAGCAGACGCCGTCGTAAGGAGTGTTAGTGATATTGGTGTTATGGTTAGTAATCATTTCTCGATCATTGATATTGTTTTGCATCCAAAACATTCAAAATGTTTGCATTATTTCTTAAATTTCATTAATTTCTAAACTATATATTATTATAACTTCTATTTAATTATAGGCAAATAATATTTCAAAATGAATATGAATCAAATTTACATCATAAACCTAACTAAAGCTAATAATGAATATTAACAATAATAATTCAAAGGTTTTTCGGAAAGTAATTTTGTTTTTCATAGATGTTTTGGCTCTCAATTTTCCAACAATAAACAATTACTTTAATAAATTTTGTATTGGCAGTTTTGATCAAGCATCTCTTGTCATATTTCTGGTATTAGCATAATTTCGAGAAAATAAATTTTTTAGTCGTTATTAGCAAAAAACTGATCAAAGTGCTTTTTGACATGCTGGTTTGAAGTAAAGGTTTTACCGCCTAAAAATTTTTTTAGAGGCCAGAACAAATAATGGTGATGATGGCAGGTCTTGAGATTATGATGAATATGTCATTGGGTCCCATTCAAGCTACTAAAACTTTTGGCGATTGACCAAACTTATGTGAGGTCTTGCGTCGTCTTGATGCAGGACTATACTTTGCTGTGGGTTAATTCTGACCTTTTCTTTGAAGTATATCATTTAGTTTATCTAGCTGATGATATAAGGCATCCGAATTAACCGTTATGTTATCCTGGAAAAGCTGAAAAATGAACAACTCCTTTAACTTCTTACCAAACATACTGCATTACCTTTTTCTGGCAAATTTCAGGTTTGCACTTGTCTTGAGCAGCTTCTTCTTTTTTGTTTCATGGGCAATTGCGTATATTGTATTCTTTACATCCCATTTGACATTCATAATGACAATTCGCTTCAAAACCTGATGATTTTTAGGACTTTTCAAAGGCGAATCGCGGACGCTAGTGCGACGACACACGTTTCTTTCTTTTGAGTGGTCATGAACTATGAAATTTGATAAATTTTAAGTGAATGGGATCTTATGTATTGTTATTCGCTGGTTTGCATCAACTAACGCCTTTCTCGCGTCTTTATCAGCTTCAAGTGTACTTTTCGCACTTGGACAGCAAAATACCAGGAATAGACTGTAGCAAACCAATTTTGGCACTATTGTATTATCAATCAACACGATGGAAATGATTCCGTACACATCGGTCAATTTCATTTTGACTTTAACAGTATTTTTACCTTTTCTATAGCAGAAGTGTAAAATATGTCGAAAATTTAATTATTTAGTGGCACCATCCAAAAACTACTGCATGTAATTGATTAGAATTTGATTTTTCAAATCATATAATAAAAACAGGGCTTAAGTATAATGTTGGGATCAAAACAATATAGTTAAATTCTGGTGGTAAAAAAACGAAGAGACTCTCCAAACAACCTTATATTTAAATCAGAATATGGGAAATATACTTCAGACTAAATTGCGCTTGATCGAAACAGAGTGCTATATATAATTATTGAGCATTAATATTATTAAAATTGCATTAGTTGTTATAAATAATTCTATAGCAGTTTGAATGTAACCCTACTAATTTTGTTTCATTTTTTTATGTGTACGCCGTAAACTAAGGTGACCATAGTTTTTCATGACAAAATCTGGACGGCAACTTGTAAATATACTAATCCGGGTTTGGGGGTGTGGTTTTATACCAAATAACTTAAATATGATTTAAAGTAACAAATTCTATATAAGGACACCATAAAAATTGGATTTTATAATGAATAGTAAAAACGTTATTGTACAATTATATTTTATATAATTCTTATATTTTTTATCTATTTTTTTCGCTTTTAAGCTTTGTATAAAATGTTCAACTTTCCTTGTAAAACGTAGTGAAAATTAGTACTCATGCTGGTCGAAAGGCAGTCAAAAAGTTCATTTTCATAATTTTTGCTAGTTTTTATAAAATTGAAAATGAAAGTTCGAAATTATTAATGTGAGAAGCTTTAACTCGCCTTTGCAATTTTGTATTTGTCAATTTTTTCATTCACAACAATACGTGATAATCGTTGTATATATAATTTGCAGATATTTGTTGCAAGTTGTAATTTTATCAACTAATTGTGAAGATTCAATCTAAATTTAATCTTATCGAAAACTTATTATCTGGCTGCTCGCCAAAATTATTTTTCCCAAATTCCTTTTATTACTTGGGGAAGATGATTAGATCATCTAAGTAAATTCAGAGTAATCTTAAAAATAATATCACTTATTTCAGATTTCTTGTTATATTAATATTCGGCAACTAAAGTCTGCTTATTTATTGGCTGTGAAACACAACCGCATAGTAGACGTCCGTCGCATACAGAGAGAAGCGGAAAAGCTAGGCCAAAGCCATGTTGTTGCATTATGCACGAAGCGGCTGAAAATGTGATATTCTATAATAATATATTTCTATGAAACTATTGATATTAAAACAATTAATGTTTATATATTTTTTATATTGTTTAACTATATTTAAATCATTTTATATTAAAGTATTGACCAATGTCATTGTATAAAAATGTTATAGATTATTATTGTAAGGAATATTATTTGTTTTTATAATAATGTTTTTATAAAAATAACATCTCTTTAAAATTTCATACTGAGTTTGTTGAAGTTGATGTGGTTGCGTAAATTATTCATATATTAGGAAACATTTGTTTAAACTTTCAAAACTGTCCGAATATGTACACACGCATGAATATATATATATATATATATATATATATATATATATATATATATATATATTTAATTGATATTTCCTGGATTTTTTTAAATAAATTGATAAGAGTTTCTTTTCCGAACATCTACAAAATTTTAGGAGTGAAATTAAACGAGTGGGGATTTTCGACAGAGTGTTGCCTCATTTTTTGTGTACATATTGTGAGGTTTGTCCAATGTATTGGAAAGAATAGTCGTTGCAAGAAAACAGAATATACTACGTCTGTATCGAAATTGGATGGAGTAGGAGACTTAATGTTCAGTTAAAAAAATTAATTCATCCTTATACTCCTCCAATAAATTTTTTTTACGAACATTAAATCTTCTACTCCATCAAATTTCAATACCGATGTAGTATATATTCTGTTTCTTGTAACGACTGTTCTTTTCAATACATTGAACAAACCTCACAATATGTACACAAAAGAATGAGGCAACATGAATTAAATGTGGTTTACCATAAACTAATTGATTCAATTAAAATAATCCTGATATCTTATTTATGGACAAATATAAGCCAAGACTAAAAGTGCAATATAAATTTATTCATTTAGTAATTGTGATAAAAGTTTATTAAAAAGAGTGGAGGAGTTCACCAGTTGACTCGATAAAGTAAAGATTATAAATATAAATTACTGTAGTATTAAATATATTACATATTATTAAAAAGATGTAATTTTGAAAATGTTTGAAATATATTTTTAAATTAAATTTACATTATTAATTATTTACAATCACTAAAGGGTATAAAATATTTATAATTTCGATTGAAAGATTGATTGATTGCAATTGATCGTTAATATTTGTCAGCAGAGGAGCGAACCTAAATGGGAAGCATTAGTTAATTATTAAAATTAATATATGTACCTGAATAATATATATTATGGAAACCATGTTAAAGAAATATAGCAAAAAGCATATTCCACTAGCATAAAGATTATACTATTATCTCATTGTTGTGAATTGGTGTAATCAATATACTGGTGGTTCACTGCTTTTTTAGGTTTTAACCAGATATTCTTTCAATGAAAATTGTGAATTGTATGATAAATATTTTTTTATAGTGTTTCATATGATAAAAAACAAAGATTAAAACATTGTGAATCTATTAATGAACTTGTTCGTTCCCAGTGCTCAGGAGAATAATGCAAGTACTGCGACCTAAAGCACAATATTGCTTTCTAATTACTTATATTTTGATTCGAATCAGAAATCGGATGATTCATATGATTCGAATCAGAAATCGGATGGTTCGACCGTTACGAGTTTATTTGAATTAAGTAAAATCTGATTAGAATCTAGTTGTTGAGGGTCAACCCCGCGAATGATTCCAATTGGCATGTAATTAGGGCTATATAATAATACAATTATATAAATATAATAATTAGGCATATATAGATACATATATAATATAATAAAAATATAGATACATATTTAATAACTTTACTAGTTATCACCTACTTTTCGGCATATCTACATTGTTAACTAGGATTGTTAATTTATTAACTTATTCCCATAGGGTAAGTTATAGTAATCGCATGGTGGTAATCGCAAGATGATCGAAAATGAAAATTTTTATATATCTTTACGTTTTAAAGGTTTCTGAATATATTAGCATACCTTAGAAAAAATGGATGTATGTGCGTGTGTGTGTGTGCGCGCGGATACAAATTTTCAACGACGATTTCGGGAACACCGATTAACCGATTAGAATAATTCAATAAACATTCGAATTGTATTTATAAGGAGACGTGCTGATTAGTTTTTTGCGAAGTCAGGTCTAGCTGTTCCGAAGATACGGGGCAAAAAGTGCCAAAAACGGTAACTCAGTTTTCAAGAGAACGGAGCGTCCGATTTTAATAACTCAAAAAACATTTTACTTGTATTGACAAGATGAAGAACTGTTCAAATTTTTGCGACGGTAGGTCCAGCGTTTATGGATTCTCGATAAAAATAAGTTAAAAAAAAGAGTGCGCGTAAGGATCACACGCGATTGAAGTAAAACTTTTAATATTGTATGAGTAGGCAATTAAGATAAAAATAAAAAAAACATCATATTTGAATTTTAAAATCATCTTTTAATAATCATATAGCATCAATAATAATAGATCTCCTGAGCATCGGCACAGCTGTCCTACTGATATTAAGAGTTTGAATATGATGTGAAGCTTTCTTCCTAATTTGTTACCTATCTTACCGGGAAATTCAAACCATAAACGTAGAAGTTCATCATTATCGCCACGTTCTATGTACACTAATTTTCCCACACAACCATTAGCTAAGCCATCACTTCCATCAATATTAGTTGTTATTATGTAAAATTTATTCAGAACTAAAATTATTTCATACGGCAAAGCCCCGGTATCAATAACCGATTTTTTTGAAACTGCTGACGAATGTATGATTGTTGATCTGTCGCATGGCAACCTACATAATATCCGTGGCAGTAGATATTATTTTGTCTTCAACGAGATTCAGTATAAATTTATTATATTCCATGACACATTTATTCTCTAAGAAAAGTCTTATTCATGAGGACATAATACAGCAACCTCATCTTTTGTAAAAAAAACGTGATTCAATTAATGCAAGTTCATATAGGGTTTAGCGGGTTTAGCGCTCGACTTACGCATGACATGACGCGATATGAGTGGATACTCGCGACATCAGCGCTTACGGCGTCGTAGTGTTCAACTACACGTTGGCATTTTCGTTGCATTTGTACGGATTTACACCCGTGTCGCGCCTAAAAATTTTTACACCCATATCGCGCCTAAAGAAGTTTTACTTCAAAAATGTTTTTGGTGGTCCAAAATTTTATTCGACATATATACATACAAATTATCAGATTTTTTATAGAGATTTTAATAATGTGTATACATTTTGTGTAATTTTTTTTTGGGTTCTGTACCAAAATTTTTAATTTCAAAATTCAAATGGTTTAAATAAATGTCTTCGACGTTTTCGACAGTATGGAATAATCGATTTGAATAACTTAAAAAACATTCGATTCGTATTCAGAAGGAGACGTGCTGATTAGTTTTTAGGCATAGGCAGGTCTAGCCGTTTCGAAGATGAGTTTTTTTTTAATTTTCTAAAAAATTTCAAACTTCCAAGAAAAATCAAATTAAAAAAATGAACAAATTTCTTAAAAACATACACAAAGTTGTTTGTAGAACACACTCATCATCGCCTAATTTAAAATGCACTTATGAATTTATATTGTAATGTATTTATAATAAATAGTCTATTTGAAATTATTCAAAACAAATATTGATTATTTGCATTTCTCGAATGTTTAATTACGATACGGAAAGTTCCAGCAATATGCCTTAAGGGAAGGCACTATGCCAAATGAGAAACAAGTTCAAATTTTAATTCAAATTAAGCGCCATCTCACGGCATGTGTATGCTTTAGGTGTCAATGATATGTCAAATTTAAGGAGTGTCTAATCTTTAGCATCTTATCTACGGTGAGCATAAAAAACTGACAACTCAAACATCAAATTGACAAATCAAACGAAGATGTTTTTATATGTTTCAGAATTTAAGATTTGAACCACCCTTGGATTGCCCGCTAGAAATTGACATTTTGTGATTTATATGAAGTGAAATTTGATACATATGTATAAAATTATATTCTTATGAGCATCATTTCGAATATACTGGCTCATTATTAGAAGAAACTTAGTAAAAATTAATTCACAAAAGATTTAAGAAATCAATATCTTTAATTTGATTAGTAACATCAGAGACAAATTTGAGTACCAGGAAAAAATCATGGATACCGAAAATATATTTCTTTTCGTGCCTAATTTAATTGGTACTTTCAATATATAATATATATTAAACAATCAAAATAATAACATAGATATTAATTGAAAATTAAATTTGTTTCAGGATATGGCCGAGTGATTTTAGCTATTATTTCCTTTTATTTTATGCCTACAAACTATGTAGTTGCCTGTTGGTGTTATATTATCAGTGGATTACTAGATGCAGTCGATGGACATGCTGCTCGATATTTTAATCAAAGTAAGCTTGACGTTAAATATGAATTTATATTAACAATGAGACTATTACATTTGCACATATTAGACAATCTTAATTTTGCCTTATTTAGTTAGATTATTTATATCATTTGTACTTTATCATTCAGGTACTAAGTTTGGAGCAATTTTGGATCAGTTGACTGACCGATGTGGAACTATGTGTCTATTAGTAACTCTAAGTTACTTTTATCCAAAATACATGTTTTTGTTCCAGCTTTCCATTTGCATTGATATAGCTTGCCACTGGATATATTTACATTCGTAAGAATTTTAATTGATTAATACTTTTTTAAATAGCAATTTTGTTTATATCGTAATCAATATTCATTTCAGGTCTTTACTACAAGGAAAAGTGTCTCATAAATTCATTGACATGTCTGAGAACCCTATAATGCATTTATATTATACTTCTAAACCAGTTCTATTTGGAATGTGTGCAGGGAATGAGGCTTTTTATGCTGCATTGTATTTGCTATATTTTACTGAAGGACCTTTAAGTGAGTAGAAAATATTTTGCAATTTATTAAAAACATTTTGGTATTTAGTTTGCAATATTATTATTGAAATGTTTAATACTTGAAAATTTATTTAGTGTCTGAAATCTGATTTGGACTATCATTATTTACCATATAAGTCTAATAATTGCTTTGAATGAAATTATACTCAATTTTGAAATAATGAATTAATGAAGAAAAAATAGAGTCCACGTAAAGTTCACATACTATTGAAGTAAAACTTTTTTGCTACTGAACAAGATGGCATTTAAGTAAAAATAAATACATCATATAACAATTTTGAATAATGTTTATTAGTAATACGGTAACACTCGTGATGCACACATTTATTAGTGTCATCCATTATACACATTTATATAATGATAAATTATAAATTATATGTTTATAATAGCATTAAAAAGATTTATAATATTTAAAAACAATAATGTAATTAAAGTCATACTTCAAATATGACATGATCGGTTTGTCATTGTAATTAGCATTTAGAAATGAACATTCATTAGAGAAATGAAGTAATTGCTGATTAATAAATTCTGTAATATTTGTTTACACAGTGGATTATGTTAAACAACGCCTAAACACAGATAAATAAATATTTTAAAGTTACATCGTAGTACAAATCTTGATTCAATAAAAAATGCCTGAATCAGAAGAGTATTTTACCCTGTTCCTTGAAAATAATAAAACAAATTAAACATTTGTGCCGTGTACTAAACGAAATTAGAGATAGAGATTATTCTTATATTAGTTAAGTATACAACGTTGATGCCGGTACGCATAGAACGACAGATCTCTATGTACATACATGACGACTAATCACAATCGACCCGTATAGAAATGATTTCATCGAAAGCGAATGATTTGTAGTTCAGGCGTAACGTTATTTCCGTTGCATTCTTACAGATTTACACCCTAGCCGCGCCTAAAGAAGTTTTACTTCAATAAAGCCCTATAGATTTGTCTCCAAATGTGTAATTTCTGACATTGAATCAAGCTTTAATCAAGATGAAAATAATTCAAAACTTGTCTTAAAAAATGCAAAAATAATATAGGATTTTTTTCTATTTTTAACCATATTTCAATTCTTTATAACCATATAATTATTAAAATATATTATTTTATCCATACAGTTGCCGGATTATCTTTATTCAGAATCATTGCTTATTTAAGTGCGCCAATTGCTATCACTAAATCTTTTATATCTATTGTACATGGAGTGGTGGCCTGTGTCAATTTGTCTAAGATTGATGTTGCAGAACGCAAAGAATTGCTCAAAAAACAGTAAATCAATAGGTAAGTAATTATTAAAAGTGGTTTAATATATTCTTTTCATTAGTAGTAATATATTATAAATCGAAAGTGTTCCAGTTTCAAGTGTCAATTGTTTACATTTTTAACAAAAATATTTCAATTGTTATTATTACTTTTAATTTTGTACTTACTGTTTAGAGAACATATAATATTTGTATCAAATCATTACATTAACTTTGATTTGACGAATTCCAAAGAGTTGAACTGTAATTTGCAGTTTTAGTCAGTTCTATTTAGAATGATAAATGTTAATTTATATATATTTATTTAATATTAATAGTTATTCCTCTAGATAATACATAATAGTTATTACTATTATGCTAGGGGTGCAGTGAGTAGAGATAAGTTTCTCTTAATTTTTGTTGAGAGATTTTGATAATAGATGTAATGCATTAAATGTCCTTATTAATGTGATCAACTTCTAATTTTTTAAAATGATTATTTTACAGTTATTTAAAGATTAAATAAAATTATTAAGTAACAACTTTAGTCATTCTGGGAATTAAATTTGATAACTGACAATAGCACTTTTACACAGGTAATTTTTTTTTAATTAGTAAATTTGTTTGCATAGTTATTTAATCATTGTGTTTAATGAAAGAAGATATTAGAAATTTGAAACAAATTTAATACTAATTAATGTGTTATAATAATATAATGAAAAATAAGTCATAAAAAATCTATTATGTTCGCATTTTGTGAAATCATGTTGTCTACTTCATCCACTGACTATACAAATAGTATGCTTTACATAACGTTAATACTAAAAGTGTATTCTATTGCATTTATTGTAATTTCTTTATCACAATTGTTATAATTTTAAATAATTTATGTATGTTAAGGATAATATAATGTCTTATCCCAAATACTGAGGTTATTCTTCATGTTTTACATGTAGATGATATTGCTAGACCATTTATATTCTTTTTAATCTTTTTAATATATATATATATATATATATATATATATATATATATATATATATATAATGCAAATCTCATGGAGCAACTAAGAAAAGATAAACCAACTTTTAAAACCTATTAAGTTCAAACTTAAAATTGATTATTGCCAGAGGCTTGAATGGGAAATATTATTTGAGATAATAGTTTTAACATTGTTTAAATAAATGAATTGTATAAATATTAGTAATATTACTATTACTCAATCACCATGAACAAGTTTAGCAATCAACGCTATTTAAAATAAGTGATAATTTTATCAACTTGGCGGCTTTTTTGAAATATGGAGGCATTAAGCACAATAAAATTTTAACTACAGTGTTTTTGGAGTTAATATTTCAGTAATATCTAATGAAATTCGAAATATGCAGATTTTTTCATATTAATATTATATGTACTATGATTAATAAAATCTTCGTTATAAACTATTTGTATTTGGACAAATGGTATTTTGCTTAAGCAAGCTTCTCGATATGTGTAAATAATAGACTTAAACAATGATAAATTAATTAATTTGAGTGACTTATAAGTATTCCGAGTGGATTTAATACACTT